TGAAACAAAAACTAGTAAATCTGCAATAGATAATCAATTGGAGACTCATGATCTGGGTACTGGTCCAGTGAAACTAAATTCGAGCTTTAATGAGATGCCCAGTGCTGATAGACAATGCAGTTTAATCTTCGGTTCCCTTGGCTCAGCTGATGTTCCTGCTTCAACTCAGCCTCTGTCAGTTCCACCTGATTTGATGTGTGACGAGCCGCAGGTTGATGGCAGCCATTCTGCTGTCAAGGCCATTGAGCACCAGAGCAATAATCCTACTAACTTAAAGCATGAATCTCCGCATATAGATTTCCACATCTTAGAGGACGCCCAAGTTGCTTCCATGGCTGCAGTCCCTGGACATGAGGGAAAATCTGTCGACACTGGATCAAATACTTTTGATATTTTACTTGGAGCTCTGGCTGAAGAGTCCAAGGCAACAGATGCTCCTGGTAAAGATGAGGTTGGCAAAGCTTCCTTGACATTAATGACACTGGCTAGCAATGAGCCCTCTGCAGATGATGTTACAGATGTCAGAGCTGTAGAGGTGGTGGAAACAGACACAATTTTGGGATCAGCAAAAGATGATAAACAAGTTGATTTGTCAGATGTTGTGTCTAGATGCATTGGGAGCTCAAATAGAACAGATATCATATGCTATGCCAGACGCAAACACAAAAGGAAGAGGGATTCTCAGTCAAATACTGATAGTTCACAAAGTCATTCGAGTTTCGTCCGCTCTCCCTGTGAGAGCTTGAGGCCAAGGACTAAACCTGCGGTAGTCGAAGAGTCGGAATGGAGCAGGACAGCTGAAGCTTCTTCTGCTAAAAGGGGTAAGAGGACAAAAACAGTGGGATCATTTCAGTGTGATATTGATCTGTGCGATATGACATTTGAGACTAGGACTGAACTTAATGCCCACAAGCGCAATATTTGCACCGACGAGTCATGTGGCAAGCGTTTCAGCTCACACAAATACTTGAAGCGTCATCAGTGTGTCCATAGCGAGATGAGGCCATTTAAATGCCCCTGGGAAGGATGTAAAATGACTTTCAAGTGGCTATGGGCTCAGACTGAACATATCAGGGTGCACACGGGAGAGCGGCCATATAAGTGTTCAGCTCCTGACTGTGGGCAGACATTCAGATATGTCTCGGATTACAGCCGCCACAGAAAGAAATTTAACCATTATTGACATGTTCTAGTTTTCGAGTTCCTGGCCGCAGCTCGAGGCAAATCTCCAGCTGCTTGTGTTGGCGGGCCTTGTTTGTTGTAGCAGCTCACATATTTAACAACCTGACAGCTGATAGGCCTAGTGAATGTTCCCCGTTAACAATGTGCTAATAATTTAGTGTAGGAGTTAGAAATTGTTGGGGGTGAAAGGCAACCCCTCCTGTTGGTGTAGATTTGCATAAGCTGATCACCCCACTGACACATCGCCATTCATTATTTGTTTCTCAGTTCAGTGATGTATTTAATCCCTGACTAACTTCATGAACACTGAAATCATATGCTCGATTTCAAAATGGTCTCGGATTGATCGTGCGCATGTAATTCCTGTCTTTGACGCATTGTCTGGGTTCTCATTATATCCTGTCATACTGTTACAGCAGATTACTGGTATGCCTAGGTCTACACAAAATTTAACGAAACTTGTGAGCCATGTTTTTTTAGTTCAGCGAGATGATAGTCCCCGTGAGAATGGAAAAAGTCCATATTACTCTCTCCAAGTTTGGTCTATGTTTAAATAACCCTCTAAATTAACATTTGGTTCAATTTACTTTCTCCAACTATTTAAGTTGGTTCAACCAACACTTTAAAGAGATTTTTCTTTTTTGTTTCTCTATGTACAAATTATATTTTAGTTTTAAATTTTATGAGGTGACAGAGGAAATTATATTTTGTGTTAGAAAAATGCACTAAATTTTTTATCATTATGTTTTTATACGATATTGTATCTCTAGTGTTAATTTATTATTAAATTTCCTAAGCTATCAAAATAGAGGCAAAAAGTTATATATTTTTCTAACATAACTTATGATGTTCTCTATCGTATCACAAAAGTTGATATTAAGACTCAACGAATACATGAAACAACAAAAATAACAAATCTTGTTACGGTGTAAACTAGACCAACTGAAATAGTTGGAGGGAGTAAATTGAACCAAATATAAGTTTAGGGGTAATATGGACATATGCTAAATTTGAGAGGAGTAATTTGGACTTTTTCCCGTGAGAATCAACAGAGCTCCAATGGAACTTCCAATCCAATCAACCAGGGAAATATGAACTGGCGGCATAAGGATCACAGCATCAGACACAGATTGAAAAACTTGGACCTTCCAGGAAATATCACTTCTACTATCAGTGACAGCAAAAAAACCATTATAAAACATTAAAACCGCATGACTTGATGACTAGCTATAGCTCGTCGACCCAGCAGACCTGAGCACGCACAGAGCCAAAACTACAGCTACCAATGCAATGCAGACAGAGACAGATCAAGATCACCTACTAAATACTAATAACAACTAACAAGTACGTAATAAGAACAGAGTTCACACTTGCTTCCTGCGCCCGTGGCATCAAGAACACATGCATGGATCTACTGGGACTGAGACGACTCATCCTTAGCTGATGCTCCCTTGGGCTTGACCAATGGCCCGAGCTTGGGCTTACCGAACATGGAGATGCCCTGGCGGGTCCTGAGCATGGCGTATTCGCTGGCGCCGCGGGCCTTGCTCTTGATGCTGGCCCGCTGCGCTTGTGCCCACGTCTGCTGATGGGTCCCCGTCAACGTCTCCGGCTCCGCTGCGGTGGCCTCCACCGCCGCTGGCTTCAGCGCGTCGTCCTTCTCCATCGGTGATGGAAGGGTGAGCTTGTTGCTTGATCTCTGTACCTGTACGTAGATCAGAGACGATCGAGAGGCTAAGGAAGGAACTAGAGCTAAGAGAAGATGTTGCTGGGATTGCTTGCTGCAATGATGATGGCGACGAAGGCGTGGCCTCGTGTGAATTTATATCGGGCGTTTTCTTGAGAAGAAAGGCGAGCTCCGGCCGTGCCGGGGAAGAAGAGGAAGAAAGGCAAAGCTTGGAGCAGGGGCAAAGGAAAGGAAAACGATGATGCCACCGCGCGTTATTGAACACTCTTTCTTTCTCTGGGACAAAAGACTGTGGAAGAAGAAAGAAAACAGGGGGGCAAGACGAGGAAGACAAGGAGAAAAAAAGGCTGTTTGTCCGATCGGCCCAATCGTGCTTGGTAAGGCCACTCCGGATTCTTATCCAACCAGATTTCGGCAAAGCCCAATTCGAGAGCGGCAATGAACATCTCGAATCTACCATGGGTTTTTTCATTGGAAACCTTTTCAATTTCTGTATGTACGAAATTCTTGGACTTCTTCGCTGCAGTACAATTAGGTTGGAGAGTATACTGCTTTTAGTTTTTTATACGCGCGTAAAAGATTAAGCAAGCGTGATCGTGAGCATACCTTTAGCAGTTGGAAAACACAGCCTTCATATGCTTACAAATTTGAAGCGTTTCTACCTTTCAATTTAGAGACAGTTCTGTTCGCTTGAGCTTATTCAGCATTACCTTTCAGTCATGGAACAGTGTTTTCCTCTCACAACATTTCAGCAAAAGCATCAACATAAACCAAATTTCAACTTAAGCGAAGGTAGAATGCTCATATTACTACTTTGTCATTAAAACCGTAAGTCCGTAACCGATGCTTAGTATTTCTAGTTATGCAATTTTGGTATTTGTTCGCAAAATTACATGTTTACTACAATTACAATTGCAAGCATGAAAACGGTCTACTTCACATGCTTGCTCCTCTCTAATCTCTATTTTAGTTTTCTCTATATATGTCTTTTGCTCCTCAGAGTCTTCGCATTTAATTCTCTTTAGAATCGTTGTGTTACGCAGTTATACCTCATCTCAAATAAAATAACTGAAAAGGTATCAACTCTAAGAATATTTTCTAAGAAAAATTATTACATTGTCTCGCTAATAATAGAAAAATAGGCTTCTTTTCCAAATGGATGAACTGTGTTTGATTGAATTCTATGGCATTCAGTTTCCTAAAAATCAGTTCCATACTTCCATGGGTAGTTCAATGCCTGTAAGAGTCTCATTCAGAATGTTTCATGTGTTTCTACTTTTAATGGATCATGTTCATACAGCTACTTCAACCGTTAAAGCAGATGTTTAGATCTTTCTAATCATGCAATTTGATATCTATTTGCAGAAATATTGTGTGCAAGAAAAGTAGAAAACTGTGTTTCACGTGCTTGCTCAAATTTATGTGAGAGAGAACTGAGATGAACAAGCCAGCATACAAAACAATCCACAGCGCTACTACAGTTCTCACAGCAGAGGCGGTTCTGAAAAACGAACACCTTTATTTTTCAGTTTTTAGATCTGGTCAGCGAGCTTAGCATTGGAGCTTAACTAAGTATCCAGCAAATGAAATAAAATAAACATTTTAACACTATCTTCCTTGTGTTTTCCAGGATTTCATTTTTCCGGATAGCCCAACGGATTTGCATATGCAAAGTTACTTACGAAGTAGTGGATTGATTAAAAAGAAAGACTTGCATTTGCTCTATGAAAAAGAGTGAGCAGCATGAGCATGAAATTCAAAGTTCTTTTATCCAAATTGAGATACTCAAACAGACCATGGACCCCTGGTCAAGCAGGAATTCATTTTGTTATAAAAAAGGAGCAGGAATCCATTTGAAGCAGCTCTGAGACTCTGATCAACAACAAAGAGGCATGTTCAGCTGAAATGGCTTATTAAAAAGACATACTTGTGCATCTAATCAGAAGATAATTTAGCATAATGCACCGAAGTTTACCACAAGAACAAGTCCCAATTGCCCATTGCCCTAACAAGCTGATCAAATGCAATCACTAATCGTATCTAAACCATGCCAGATGGGAGCTAAGCAGCGGAAGCAAATCCACCACCTTTATTATTGGCAGGCACTCAAGAAGCAATTTCCCAGGTCCTCCTACTCTGCAGCCTTCCCACCGGCGGCCTCCTCCTGGCTGCCCTTGTACTTGTCCAGCGCTGCGCCGGCGAGCCGGCAGATGCGCCACTGCGGGAGCACATCGGCGCCCATCCCCTCGTAGAAGTCGATGGCGTTCTTGTTCCAGTCGAGCACGCACCACTCCACCCGCCCCATCCCGAGCTCGGCCGCCCTGCCGGCGACGGCAGACAGCATCATCCGGCCGAGCCCGCGGCGGCGCCAGGGTGCGCGCACGAAGATGTCCTCCACGTACAGCCCGGGCTTGGAGAGGAAGGTGGAGTAGTTGGGGAAGCAGATCACGAACCCGGCCGTGACGCGCCCGCCGCCGCGCGGGGAGGCGAAGGCGGCGGCCTCCGGGTCCGCGAGCGGGGACGCGGAGAGGTCGAGGCGGCGGGAGGCGATGGTGGAGGAGGCGTCCGGGACGATGGGGGAGGGGGATAGGTCGAGGATGAGGGCTGTGAAGGAGGTGAAGGGAGGCGGCGTCGGCGAGGGGAAGAGCGTGGTGGTGAGGAGCTCTTCAGTGGCGGCGAAGAGGTCGGTGAGGAGCTCGAACTCGGCCATCTGGTGTGTGAGGCGGTGGATGTGCGGCACGTCGCGGGCGTCGGCCAGGCGGAGCTCCGCCCACACGTCGCCGGAGAAGGTGGTGGAGTTGGGCGGCGCCGCCATCTGGGTCAGGAAGTGGAGAGAAACGGGAAGATTGGAATGGGAACGGAGGATTGTGGATGCGGGATGGTTTGGCCTGTCTGTCCTCTTCTTTTGTGACGTGGCGACTGGTGACTTGGTGAAAAGACACCCGTGACTCCAGGGTTGGCGAGGCAACTTTTGCTTCGTTGTCGCCCGCTTGGAGTTTTCCAGGAATGTAACCCTTACTCCCGTTGAAAATATCGTTTTTAACTTTTAAACTTTTTATTTGACGGTCCATCTTATTCAAAATTTTAATATAAATAATAACATAAATAAATTATTATTAAAATATCTTTAATGATAAAATAAGTCATAACAAAATAAATAATATTTATATAAAATTTTTGAATAAGACAAACAGGCCCCGTTCGCTGGTCTAGAACTTGGCTGTAACTGGCTGGTTGTGTGAGAGAGAAACACTGTTCAGCTGGTTTGGTGAACAGTAAATTATGAGGGGGAGCAGCCGGCTGGTCTGGAACTTCCAAACCAGCGAACGGCCCCACAGTCAAACAAGAAGTCTAAAAGTAAAAAAATGACACTTTTAATGGGACAGAGGGAGTAGAATACTCAAGTAATTCCTATAGAAATACCTAATTTCAAGTGGCCACTTGTTAGAGATCAATCTACCTTAGTGCTTGTTTGGATTATCAAAATTACTAAGTGTTAGTCCAACTAAAATTAGATTAAGACAACTACAATTTAATATTTATTTATTGTTCATATTGTTTAGATACCTGGAGTAACTAATTGAGCTAGATTAAAGATTAGTCTACTACCTCTTTTGTCAATACATTTGGATGGCCTAGAACCTTTAATATGTGGTTATTGTGCACAGATGTTGTGACTTGTGAGGTTAAGAAAGGCAAGCCCCTCCTCGACGTGCAGTGTTGTGTGGAGTCACGATGCACACGAGCTCGACCAGCCAGGGCACCACATGAGTGGTGCAGTGGCAACTGAAAGCATCTAGACCTCTAGTTGGGTTTCGGTGATTAATGACAATACAAGATTACTGTGACTAACGTGTGTTTTGCAGATGCAATTAAGTTAGGTCATGGTAATGGAGATCGATTGGGCAATCATGGTGGTCATGCCCCTACGATGGAAATTGTTTCGGTTTTCAAAGGATGGACGACAAGGTTAAGGATGGCTAGTTCTAAGTGTCGATTGGAGTTGGAGAGACACTTAGAGTAGTTTAGAACTTTGTTTTTCTTTTGACCGTACTATTAAGGGAGGTACAGATGAGTAGCTTGACCTAGCTGAGTCTAGTGAGTTAGGTGTGGTGCACACTTGTTAAAACTAGCGCTAGGTGGCTCCTACATATGCCTAAGATCCATTGGAGCAAACTTCATTCACATATGATCGAGGGTTGGAAGTGAATGAAGGGTCAAATACTGACCGGACGCTGGCTTCGGTGTGACCGGACGCTGGTGCAGGGTCCGGTCAGTTCATTTGACCGAGGGGAAATTGTTCGGTGCGACCGGACGCTGGAAGGTCGAGTGATCGGACGCTGAGAGCCAGCGTCCGGTTGACTCCAGTAAGGTTCCAGAGAGGGAAAATCACGACCGGACGCGTCTGGTCAGTGTTGACCGGACGCTGGCAGCGTTCGGTCGCACTATAAACACTGGAGTTCGGGGTGTACTGACCGGAGCGTCTGGTCACCCCGCAGAGGCACATAACGGTTCGTTTTTTAGCCCATGTTATAAATAGAAGCTCCACTCGTGTGTGGAGTCACTTTTACTCATTCCAACAGCTGAAACACACCTTAGAGAGTGACAAGAAGAGCAAGGTTCTAGTGAGGTGATTGAGATTTGAGAATCCCAAAGAGAGCCCTCATTAGTGAGATCAAGAGTAGCAAAGTGTGCATCCACCCTTCTCCCTAGGCTTGTCATGGTCAAGTGAGAGTTCGTGCTTGTTACTCTTGGTGATCGCCATCACCTAGACGGCTTGGTGGTGATTGGAGAGCTTGGTGATCATCCGGAGAGCTTGTGGATGACCCAACTCAAGTTGTGAGCGGTTGTGGGTGATTCACCGCAACGGAGTATCGAAGAATCAACCCGTAGAGAGCACTTGATCCTTGCGCGGATCAAGGGGGAGCTACACCCTTGCGCGGGTGCTCCAACGAGGACTAGTGGGGAGTGGCGACTCTTCGATACCTCGGCAAAACATCGTCGCGTTCCTCCTACTCTATTTACTTTGAGCATTTACTTTGAGTATTTTCTTTGAGTAATTACTTTGAGTATTTACATTGAGCAATTCAATTCTTGTCTTTACAATTCATAGAATTGCCATGCTAGAGTAGGATTGGAACTTAGGCTGCAAGTCATTTGTGCAGAACAACTAGAAACACTTTTTAGGCATAAGGGGTTAATTGGGCTAACCGTAGGATTTAATTATTGCAAAGAAATTTAGAATTAGCCCAATTCACCCTCCCTCTTGGGCATCTTGATCCTTTCAATTGGTATCGGAGCCTCGTGCTCACATATTTAGGCTTAACCGCCTAGTGAAAGATGTCTCACGGGGATGGACCACCTTCTATCTTTGAGGGGGACGATTTTCCTTAGTGAAAAATTCGTATGGAGGCGTATCTAGAAGCTCTAAATGTTGGAATACTTAGAGCCGCCTCACAAGGTTTCCCAAAACCTCGGGATGCCGCACACCCACAAGACGATGAGTTGAACTATGAAAAATAGAATGCAAAGACTAGAAACACCATATTTAGAGGCCTTTGTAAAGATGTGTTCAACCGGATGAGGAACCACAAAGACGCCCATACACTATGGTCGGACGTTTATGCGCTCCATGAGGGAACAAAGAGTGAGCGTGAGGAACGCTATCATCTTGTCATGAAAAAGCTCAACTCTTTTGAAATGCTTCCTAAAGAATATGCTAATGAAATATATTTCACGTTTGAATGTTCTTATAGAGAAAGTCAATGGGCTTGGACTCACTCAAATGCAACCATCTGATGTTGTAAGAAAAATCTTGAGTGTTCTCCCCATCGACAAATATGGGCATATTGTGACCGTGCTACATTAAGGTGATCTTTCCACCGCTACATCAACATAAATCTTGAGAAAGATCAATGCTCATGAGATGTACATGCACATCACACCTCAAGATGGCTCATCCTCTACAAAAAAGAAAGAAAAAGATTTAGCATTCAAAGCTAGCCAAGAAAAGGGCAAAGCAAGGCTTGAGTATGAGAGCTCAAGTGATGATGAAGATGATGATGAAAGCCTTGCACTTATGGTGAAGAAGACCGCCAAGATGCTAAAGAAGCTCAACAAGAGTGGCATCAAATTTGATGGCAAGAAGAAGAAGTTCTTCACTAGCTCAAGAAGAAAGCCAATCTCCGAAATGGATTGCTACAATTGTGGCGAACTTGGTCATCTAGCTCACCAATACACAAAGCCCAAGAAAGACAAGTTCAAGAGCAAGAACAAGGGCAAGAAAGATGACTCAAGCAATGAAGATGAAGATGAGAAGAAAAAGAACAAGCCATATAAGAAAAGAGATGGCAAGAAGGACTTCCACAAGAAGAAGAGTGGAAAGGCTTACATCGTCGGTGATTGGCTCACGGACATTGATTCATCTAGTGGATCATCCGATGATGATAGTGACGACGAGAAGGTGGCTGTTATTGTTATTGACTCTTCATCATCTTCGCCGCCACCACCGCCATCATCCTCTACACACCTATGCCTTATGGCTAAAAGTGAACGAAATGTATCACATGATGATGATAGTAGTGGTAATGATCATGCTCATAATGATGATAGTGATAGCGATAGCGATGATGATGAATATGAATCACCTTTTTATGATGATCTTGCTAAGTTGCTAAAGAAATACACTAAGATCATTATAAATACTAGAGCAAAAAATGAAAAGCTTGAGATTAAGATTGATTCTCTTTTAGCTAAATATGATGTAGCGAAAAAGGCTAATGTTGAGCTTAGAGAAGCAAATGATGCTATATCATCCAAACTCAAGGAGCTCAAATCTTCTAAGAAAGAGCTTAAAGATAAACATGATAAACTTAAGTGGGTGCACAAAGAGCTCATCACTGGTCACAACAAGCTAAAAGAAGAATATACTACTCTTAAGATCAATCATGATAGTCTTGTCATTACTCAAGAATTTCTACCCAATGAGCCACATGATGCTACTAACCATGTTGTTAAGATTGATATAGCTACATCATGTGATGACTTAATTGATGAGAGCATTGAGCAAAGTTCTAGTAGCAAGGGCAAGCAAGTGGTTGAGTGCAATGACTATGATGAATATGTCAAGCTCAAGCAAGATAATGAAAAGCTTAAGAAAGAGTTTGAAGCATTCAAATCTCACAACACCATTGTGCTAGAAACTCTTGATCATGATGGTGACTTGATTCTTGAGAATGAGAAGCTAAAAGAAAAAAACAAGAAACTCAAGGAAGAGAGAAACAATGTTGCTCCCAAGAAAGATAAAAATAGTGATGCACTCAAGGAAGAGAACAAGAAGCTCAAGTTGGAAAGAGAGCATCTTAAGATTGGATTGAGCAAATTCACAAGAGGAAAGTATCTTCAAAGTGAGCTACTAATGAACACCGTCATGAAGATGGATAGAAGTGGCATTGGATATATGGCAAATGTAGAGAAGAAGAAAGCTCAAGTTCAACAACAACAATCAAAGCCAGAGCCGAAGCCAAAGAGATGTTTTGAGTGTGGACAAGAAGGCCACTTTGCTCATGAGTGTCAAACACCACCACCACAACCCTTGCCCAAGCATGCTAGACCCTTTGCTTTCAATGCTCACTACATGCTTAGAAAGGATTCTAGTGGAAAGATGAAAGCCATGTTCTTATGACCTCCCAACAAGAATAGGCCTAAGAAAATTTGGGTTGCTAAGTCACTTGTTGAGAAGGTGAAGTGCCCTCAATAAGTTTGGGTTCCTAAAGCTTGATCTCTTGTGTGTAGGTGAACTACAAGACCGGTGGA